ATCAGTGTTTTGGTAGTATTTCAATGTAGCGCAAGCCATATCTGTACAAGTGGGCGTATGATACATATGCGAAAATTTTAATTATCATACGACCAACGCACATTGGACGCTGCCATTGGCCAAAATTCAAAAAATTAAAATCAGATATTTATTGTCAAATGTGTACACATGAACTCTTAAGAGGTTAAGCTTTTTAGAAAACATAATAATCTTGGATTCATTCTAACGGGACACTTCGAAAATAGCATCAAAAAAGAGAAAATGTAGTTAGTTGCTTTTTTCAGTGTGATCAGAGAAAGAGTGGAGTAAAAATAGGTCTGTATTACAAAATTAAATACATTTTAAAATGACAATTCTTGGCATAATTATTGAAAAGCAAGGTATTGACTTATTTTTAATGCAGTAATTTGTGTGTTTAGTAATTGTGTATAATATAGACGATGTGAGTGTTCTGAGTTGCCTTTAAGATTAATTTTGAAAATAAAATTTAATTTTAGTTAAAGTTTTAATTGTTTTCCCCACTGAATCCTCCAATGTGATTTTTTTCACGCCATTAGTAATGGTCCTAAGATTCTAGAAGTGCTAATTTAACTTTCAGATTTTGTCAGATTTGTATGCTATGCCCAATATACTGAAGTGACTTCGCTCCAATTTTGTCAGTTCTATGGTGCTAGTGACATAGAATATGTTTTTGTTGTTTGGTATTGATAAGGATGTAATTGAGGGGTGTTTAATAATGTTGCCTGCATTGTCTTCTGGGTATAATATTAATGTCCAAAAATTTAAGGCCTTTGCACTGGAAACGGCTAAAGAGTTAAATAAATATCCATGGCACTATCTTCCACCCGCAGCTAATAAAATTTTAATACATATAAATTTGTCATTGTATCGATTGGAGAATTATAGGAGGTGGCCGTGGAGTCTAGAAACAAAGATATAAAAAAGTTTCGACTAAATCATACCCGAAAAAATTATTAATCGTCTTCTTCTGAGCTCTGACCCTTTTATAACGGGACAGCGAACGTTACCAATCAATAAAAAATCTATATTATTAAAATCTAAATTTGATTTACTTGAATAACACTGAAATTTATAAATATCCATTAGTAACTTTCATTTAATTTTATATTGAATTGTTTATTTTGTTTACAAAAAAAATGTCTATTTTGTTTACAAAAAAGTAATCAAATTTGGAATTTTGATTTGTATAAAAAATTCTTCTATTTTTGGAGGTACCTTTACAGGGGGATTTGTATAAAAAATTCTTCTATTTTTGGAGGTACCTTTACAGGGGGACTCTACCTGAAGGCAGGCCGTACCAATAATTTTCAGTAAGACTATTTTTTAGCTCTTTAAAACGTAAAATGTCAAATAACAGAACAATCTAGTGTAGAAATGTGACAAAAATTGGGCAAATAACCCTTATGTTGTAAGGGGACCATGCCAAAACATGCATCGACCATATCCATTTTGTCACATTTTTTTATTTTTATCCCATCAAGGTACCATAACCAAAGAATCATATTGATATCTGCACTAAAAGTATTTTTGGCCGCTGTTCCCATACGACCTCGACCACTGTGCAACGGCCCACAAAAATCTGTACCAGAAATAAGCAAGACCTTAAAAGGCGGTATTAAAGGCAAACTAATATTATATTTCCCTTTATTTGAGAATATATTTTCTATTTTTTTTAATCACAAACATTAATTTACATGTTTAATTAAGCAAATTATAGATATGTTTATCAATATAAATAAATAGGAAATAAATAAACATACAAAAAAAATAAGAAACCAGCAAGGAAAAGTCAAAAGTCGGGCGGGGCCGACTATATGATACCCTACACCATTATGCATATTTAGTAGAGCTCCCGTAACAAAAGAATTTATTTCAAGTAGATCATACCACCTATCAACATTTGGCTTTAGAGCAGTTATTGTTTGCTATAGAGTGCATGATATCACGGAGGAGTATTATATTAAATAAATAAATAAATCGCAGCCGAGTTGCACTAAGTGGAAACGTACGTCCCGAAATTCAAACCATTTGGGTTGATATTAGCCACTATTTGCACAATATATATGGGAGCTATATCCAAATCTTAGCCGTTCTCGATAAAATTTGGCAAAGGTATTTCCGAGCACTATATGATATCTAGTACCAAATATTGTTATCGAATGAATATTATGAATATGAGGGACTTAAACACCAAATCGGATTAAGCATATATAATTTTCTCTTTTGGTGCACAATTACCCCGAAATCGGTTGAAGATATATTGGAGCTATATCTGAATCCATCACTAATTTCAATAGGGAAATATGCATTTCAATCGAAAAATAAATGTGACCTGAATTTTGTTAACGAGAATACATGGACAGACGGAAGGAGGGTAGGACAGACAGTTTCCTTAATCCACAAAATTGTTTATAAACAGGGTGAGATGAAAAAATGCAACCAACTTCAGACAGCTGTCATTTCTAAGCCACTCGTTCGACAGCTGTTAAGATTATTCCAGTGACAGCTCATTATATTATTGTAAGAGTACAAAAGCATTTTGGTGGGAATTTTCCAAAAAAAAAAAAAAAATATTCCTGATGAAAGCGTGATAGTGTAATTTCTTTTTATTTAGCTAGAAAAACAAAAGCGGCTATCGTTAGAGAACTCTAGCATTTAAATTTCAATAAACCTTTTGTGTCTCGTACCATCGCCGGTTACCGTGATACTGGTAGCTTAGCCCGACGTCAAGGAAGTGGACAGAAGAAAACAACAACATCAGCAATGGTGAAATGGTGTGAAAAGTGAAGAAGCGACTTGATCGAAACCCGTGTCGCAGTGCCCGAAAAATGGCTCGCGAGCGGAACCTATCGCATTATTCCATTCGGCAAAAATTGAAAAATGGGCTCGGGGCAAAGCCTTTGCAATTCCAAAGAGTGCAAGAACTTACACCGCCACATAAAGAAAGAAAATAGACTCAGAAGAACTAAAGAGTTACTTCGCTTGGCCGAAAGTGGTGAACTGCCGAATTTGGTTTTCTCCGATGAGAAAACATTCGTTGCCCAGCAGTTTGTAAACAAACAAAATGATCGTGTTTACTTGCCAAAGAGGTCAGCTGAAAATGTGCACCTTCGTTTGGCCACCAGAACTCAAGCGCCGGCCATGGTGATGGTGTAGGCCGCCATAACAGCCGATGACGCTCTCCGCTCGTATTAAGTGACCGAGACATCAGAATAAATGCCGAATATTATCGCGAAAATATTCTGAAGTGTGTATTAAAGCCTTGGGCACGCACACATTTTGGCCGCAGACCTTGGACATTCCAACAGGACTCAGCAAACATTGCACTCAGCATGCGCCACCCAAGAATGGTTACAAAATAAAGTACCTCGCTTCATTTCTAATCCGTTGGACTATTGTGTCTGGAGTATTTTGCAAAGCAAGGTTGGCGCTAAAAAATACGAAATTGTCGATCACTTAAAGCAAGCGCTTCGCCGGAAATGGGTCAAAATACCGCAGAACAACATTCGAGCAGTGTGTGACGGTTTCATTGGCCGTTTGAAGGCCATAATTCGTGCCAGAGGTGACCAATTCGAATAAATCTAAACTTATTCTGAAATTTGATGCTATTTCCGACATTTTTATACCCTCCACCATACCATGGAGGGTACATTAACTTTGTCATTCCGTTTATAACTCCTCGAAATACTCATGCCAGACCCAACAAAGTATATATATTCTTGATCAGCGTAAAATTCATTATTCATCGGAATTGTTTCAACTTTGGTATTTGAAGTTCGAAATGGATACTACAGCCTATGACAGAAAATTGTCTGGGCAGGTTCACGTCTTCGTATAGCCCCCACATAACTTTACCTCCCAAAATTCGGTATTTTGATGATTTTAGCGTCATTATTTACCGGAATCGTTTCAAATTACGTAATTAGAGTTCATAATGGGAACTACAGTCTGTGACAGAAAATTGCCTACGCAGGTCCAGGTTTTTGTATAGGCCCCATATATCAGTACCTCCCTATATTCGGTATTTTGACGAGTTTAGGTACCATAATCACCGAAATTGTTTGAGATATCGTATTTGACGTTAGTAATGGATGCTATAGCCTCTGACAGAAAATTGTCTATGCTGGTCCAGGTGTTCGGACAGCTCCGATATAATGGTACCTCCCTATATACGATATTTTGATGATTTTATCTACATTTTTCACCGTTTATTTCAAGTTTCGAATTTGAATATCGTAATGGTTAACGGCAAACAATGCCTACGTACGTCCACGTCGTATAGACCCCAATATAACGGCAATATTTCGTATTTTTAAAATTTAACAGAATTTTTTAAGGATTTTATTTTTTTTTTTTTTAATTTCCAAATTCGTTCCAAATAGTGGAGGGTATTCAAAGTTTGGCCCGGCCTGCTTTTTAACTTGTTTGCTTTCATTTAATCAAATTAAAAAAAAATAAAGTAACAATTAAGGCGTTTGACATTGTTGCAGTTTTCTTTATCTCACCCTTGGGCCAAACAAATGCTGTTTGGAAAATTCATTTCAGTCGAATAATAAATGCAATCTGCATTTTGTTCTCAAGAACATATGGACGAACGGACGAACTGACATGCAAAAATCGACTCAGAAAGTGATTCAGTGAAGATCCTCTAAAGTAACTATGGGTCTATCTCGCTCCATGTTTCAAACAAATTCACAAATACATAATAGTCTTACCACTATGTAGTGCAGTCGTTCTGACTCTGGTTTTCTACGGCTATTTTATTAGAGGTGCTATCGTATGCAACAGTCCTACCTCACTTGTGGGAACATTCTGTTCTACCTCAGTCTCCTCCACCCCTGAATTTACCCATGGGAAAAATCTTTGAACGATGTTACTTCAAAAAATACCAATGTTCTCTCATTTGAATATTTAATCAAAAACAGTTTATTCAACCCACGAAACGAATCCGATTTATTTTCAATAATTTTCATAAAATATTAACCATAAACTTTTTCCAACAAAGTAAAAACGCTGTAGGTAATCTTTATCAGTACCTGTAGCCTTCGCAAATTAACTGGATACGATTTGACAATTAAAATCTAAAATTTGGAAAACAATGTAAAATAATTTTTCAAAGGACCTCAAATCATGTATGCTCTGTTCCAGAACCTGCAAGAATATACTAGTTTTGCAATTTTCTTCGACCGACATTCTTGCAATTCTGGAACATGGCAATCGACTTACTGCACATGGTTTCTGGGATCTCAAGAGCAACAACTTCAAGACCTCTTGCGTATGTACGTCGTAATCAAACCAGTTGATATCATAAGCGGCCGTTGAAATCTCCAAGCTTTCATAGAACACCTCATTGGAAAAGTAGTATAACAGAAAAGCTTGGGTAAACACCATGGTGATATAAACTGTTATAATGCATTTTTGGGTTACAGTTTTAACCTGGAAAATAATATAAATAAATTAATAAAATAATTATTTTGTATATTTGTTTTCATAATTTTTGAATAATTCATTACCAAGACAAATGACAAGAGCATAATGCACAGCACAATAACAAATAACAAAAAGTCCATCAGGGCAATAAAACCACACAACTCATTGATTTGTTCAATGAAACTGAAAAAATATAATAAATTAAATATTTTATTTAAATTTATTAAATTATATACTTTATACCTTATTAATCTCAAATGCAACTTAATGCACTCGACAATTTTCCCCTCAACAATTTTCGAAGAAACCTCCGTACAAGTTCTACTCAGCTTATACTGTAGAACCTTTGAAATGGCTATTGCAAACATGAAATACGATATAAACATTGCTGTAAACGCTATAAAAATACACATCGCCGAGAGGTTTAAGATACTTTGGCCCGTTAGTAGTATTTCATACCAGGGACTTTGATACTCTTCCAGATAGGGTACATATATTCCAAAAATAAATTCTGAAAAGATATACAAAATATTACATTTTTATACTCTCCACCATAGTATGGGTGGAAACATAAATTTCAAATCCCACAAGTTCTAGATCAGCATCAGTCGATTTAGTGATGACCGTCCGTTCGTATGTCTATCTGTGGAAATCACTTTACCTTCTGAAGGAAATAAAATTGCTTGATAACATTTTACTCAAATGTATTTTGTGTTCGCAGGACTATTGATACTGAAAATGGGCCATGTAGGTCCACGGTTTGTTATAGCCCCCACATAAGTGTACCACCAGATTTAAGGTGTTTTGGTTGTTGATGTCACAATTTAAAACTGAATTTGCTGTAAATTGGCACTTTGTGTTCCCAGCAAGTAGGCAATATCCCTACATACAATTGTCTACATAAGCCGAAGTTTTAATATATGTAGTCCACATATGACCTAACCTCCTCTCCCACATTTTTTTTGGAAATTTTCGAATTAAGATTTCTTGGAATCTGTTGACTTTAGAAGACAAAAAAACGAGGATTATTTTGGTAGAAAATTTTAACTCTCAAGCGATTCAACAAAGGGGTCTTCTTAGTCCTTTTTTATACCCAACAACACTATGTGATTGGGCCAAGCATTATGTAACACCTCGAAAGATTGGTTTTCCACATAGGAAAGTATATATGATATTCCTATCTCGCCGAGCTGAGTCGATCTTGCTATGTATACGAAATTTAGAACTGAGGAGGGGCTAGAGCCAGAATAGAACCCTATTGTTTTTGGAGATGATCGCATAATATTTAGGTGTTGAAATGGACCAAAAACTGAAAAATATCCTGATTTTGCAATTGCTCTACAGGACACAATTATCGGAAGTTAGCAAGCGAAGCGGAAGTTAGCATGGGGCTAGAGCCGAGGGATTACTAGAAGCCTTCCAACTTTGATGGTCATCTGCTAATATTTAGACCATAATTGGTTAATAAAAAAAATTTTATTAAAATGCGAACATTTTTAATCTCGGCGAAATCACAAATGGACGAAAAGGTCAATTATGTCCGATAACGCCGGTAGTAAATATATCGGATATATATAGCGAAATATATATAATGTGTATATGCAAAAGGAGGGGATGTTAGCTAGAATGCTTATATCTCCAGAATGGCTGGAAAGCTTTTGACAAATTTTGTCAATTCAGAATGACATCTTGACATAAAAGAATAAAATCTAAAAGTATGTTAATATAGATTTTGTAGTATTTTGTGATATTTTTTATCGCATACGATTTTTTCAATTTGACATAATATGGAAGTGTACATTTTGTAATATTTGTTCACCTTACAACACAAGTTGGGGTTATTATTATATAACAGATAGCAATTATCGTCCGATCCTCACGAAAATTTTCACAAGGGTAGGGTTAGGCTCAGAAAGTCTAGGCCTGTTTTGTTAAAGATGTCCGCAATATGTTTAGGCGTTCAAATGGACCAACAACTAAAAATTTTGTTGGGATGACCATTGGATTATATTTAGCTATAAACTGGAAATGTTCCTGGTCAAAATGCTAAACCTATTATCTGGGCAGTGCTTCATGACATAGTTTCAAAAGCGAAATCTTCCAAAATGGATTTGGACATAAGGGGGCTTCTAACATATTGTAGTGTTGTAGGGTATAACATGGTCGGTCCAGCACGACTATAGCCTTTGCTAACTTGTTTCATAATATGTTTAAAAACTCCCTTTAAACGGAATTGTCTTTCATAAACTTCAACTATAGGTTCCAAAAGACCTATAAGGTCTAAATCTTACCTAGGAATTAGAAGTAGAGTCGTCATTGAGTAAGTTTGTGCCAAAATCTCCAACAAAGCATTATTAATTATACTCTCACCGATATGGCTAGAGAGGGTATATATCATATGAAAAGAACAAGACGTGTCTCATCGAAATAACGATTTAAGTCCTAGATCTCTTTGGACCAAATCCAAATCAGGGAGCATCCGATTTGGACCAAACTTGGTATATCGTAATATTATTATCAAAGTTAGATCGGGCAGTAAATTCCAAATTCTCTAAGTATTTTTTTTAAAGAAAGAGGAAGGATCATAATGTTTCGATCAAACTTTGCAAATTCTAATATTTGTATCAGTGCAAGGTCAGGTGGAAAATTTGGAAAATCACCACCAGATTTCAAAACTAGTTACAAACAGAGGAGTTAATATTGAATTGCAAGATTCCAGCTCTAAACATTCACTTCATACCCAATTTAGTTCCACTTATGTATCTTAACCACACACACCAACAGTGACATTTATATTAAATTTCAGGATTTCAACTCGATATTTTCACCCAATAGTGAATTTTGTACTTTTTAGTATTTTTCATACAATTATAGTACCCATTTCACAAACCACCTTCATCTCTCAATTTCAGATACCAACAGAGACCTCAATATAACATTTTAGGATTCCAACCCTATCCTTTCATCCAATACCAATTTTAGTATCACTAAGTACTTTCCGGACTGTTTAGTACACATAGTATCAATATCCTAGTGACAGTGACATATGTATAAAATTTCTGAATTTAGCTATGTTCCTTCACCCAATACCAAAATTATCACTACTTAGTACGATTCGTACGATTTAGTGCCCATTTCCAAAACCACCCCTATGTCTCAATTTCAAATACCAATATAGACCTTAATATCAAAATTTAATGATTTCAGTCCTATCCCTTCAATTAATAACAATTATATTACCATTTAGTATTTTTCGTACAGATATAGTACGAATTTCTAAACCAACGCCAAATCTCAGACACAGATCCTATCAGTAATCCAAGAATCAAATTTCAAAAATTTATCTCTATCCTTCATCCAATACCAAATACCATTCAGTATTTTTCGTACAAGCATTGTTCACATTTTCGAAATCACCTCCAAGCTACACATGAACAGCGACCCTAATATAAAATTTTAGATTTTAAGCACTATATAGTCACCCAATACAAAATGTTGTACTATTTAGTACTTTTCGTACAATTATAGTACATATTTTTAAAACCACCTCCATATCTTAAACCTAGATATCAACAGAGACCTATACCAAATTTGAGGATTCCAGCCCTATTACTTCATCCAATTCTAAATTGTACCAAATATAGTAACAGTCATTACTTTTCGTACAATTGTTGTACACATTGCCGAAACAACCTCGAGCTACACATGAACAGCGACCCTAAAACCAAATTTCAGATTTCAAGCACTATCTGTTCACCCAATACTAAATTGTGCCTAATATAGTACTATTTAGTAATTTTCGTACAATTATTGCACACATTTCCAAAACGATATATTTATCACAAACCTACCACCAAAAGGGACCCCAATGCAACATTTCAAAATTCGGGTGATTTTGAATTGTGCAAATTAAATAAAGAATGTGACGGCAAAAATCCTTTGTCATTTTTGCCTACACAAAACGCTATGATAAAATGCAATTTGTCCATCCGAATTCTTGCGAGAAAACACACTTGGATATCCTTGTAGTGCTTGAGTACTTATAAAGGTATCTTGCAACCGTATCCTAGATCCTTGTAGTCTGCTTGAGTACCTATTAAGGTCACTTGCAACCGTATCCTTGAATAGCCAGTAGTCTGCTTGAGTACTTATTGTACTGATTATTGTACTTGAATATCCTGTAGCCTGCTTGAGTACCTATCCATGTCTCTCGCACTGAATCCATCCTGAATTCTTAGCACTTATTTCCTGTCTCGTTTCTCGAGTATTTTTCCAGGTGTCGAGTTGAAGAACGACTTCCAATCCCTAATATCAAGTTCAAACTAATGTCTTTCTCTTTCTGTCTCAACACATAAAATTCCTATACGAACCCCTGGTGTCCGGCGAGCTATTCCAGACCAAGAAATCTTGTCATTACAAGAAACAGCTACAATTTAGTTTTTTTTTTTTTAAGACCAACTAGTAAAGTATTTAAATTACCAGATATACTTATAAATTCGTCATAGGATCAGCCACTATTGTTGATTTTTTTAAAGACCAGCTAAAATTGAGAATTTTTAAAAAGAATGTTTAAATGACCAGTTATAATAGTTGGATTTTAAAGGACCCCTATACTTGTGGATTTTTCAAAGGAACAGCAATAATTGTGGAATTTATAAAAAACATTGGATTATTATAGAACCGTCTATAATAATATGATTTTAAAGACCACCTTTAATTGAGGATTTTTTTGCAGAATACCTATATAGAGGATTTTTGAAAGAACCACCTACAATTGAATTTTTTTAAAAAACCATCTATTATATTGAATTATTAAAGGGAGCAGCTATAATAGGGGGTTGTTTAAAGGACCACATATAATTGTGTTTTTGTAAAAGACCAGCCTTTATTGTGGACTTATTAAAGGGCCGGCGGATTGTATATTTCAAATCCCGGATTTTTAAAGGACCCGTTGTAGTCAAAACTTTCATTTTAAATGCTATATTTAGAATTATTTTCAAAAATCAATATTTTTTCCTATACTCACCCCTCTCCTCCGAAATGATGGGAAACACTGTAAATCCCACCGTTGTCAGCATGCCCATGATGAGATTTATTTTCGATATTTTCAAAACCATCGCCGTATGGTCTTCCATTATTCGACATATTTCCGCATCACGTTCCATCATCAACTCCTCATACATCTGCCTGATATGCTCCAATAATTTACAGAATTTCTTGCGATTCGTTACCATCACCACAGTTCTCAAAAATGTATTGAACATCAGCATGGTCATGTAGATGTCGTGTATTTTGTCATTCAGTTCTTTTTGCGTTAAACACAAATCCATCAATTGAAAGACATTCAAAATGAAGAAGGGAATGTAGGTAAAATATTGCCGCCAATTATCATCGATGAGGACTGACCAAAATTTCAGAATTCTCACATTGAACCACAACATTGGAACATCTTCAATATTTTTAATTTTGTTAGAGTATTTTGAAATTTGTTGGTCTTTTTGTTGTATGGAAATTCTCATATTGTTTTTCTCGTTTAGAAGAGAGGTAATTTTTGTTCTGTTACTGTCCACTTGGAGGTTTGGTAGAATATTGTTGCCCAATCACTACTTTGTTGTTAGTATTTCGACACATGGTGTGTTGTGTTTAAATTATTTATCATTTGAATAAGTTATTTTAAAAATTTGAAAAGTTCTCACCAAACTTTAACTTCCTCCGGTGTTTTTAATTACCAGAAAAACATGAAATTTCAAAAGTTTCAAACAAAAAAGAAGGCATAAAAAAGGGCGACAATATTTTGATTAAATGCGTATACGTAGTGATAATACCAATACGCCCTACTATGCAAGTTGAAAATACCTCCGTTAATTACTGTTTTTTTTATTCGTTACTTATTCCATTTAGAATCTGGAAATGTATACCATCACTAAATTTATTATCATTTAGTACTTTTCGTACAAATTAAGTACATATTTCCAGTACCATCTCCATATCATAACCACAGACACCAACAGTGACATTAATATAGAATTTCGTTATTCAAGCTCAATCGGTTCACACAAATCCAAATTGAACCAAATTTCGTTCACATAAGTTCTATTTTCCAAAACTTTCTACAGAACCCCATTCTACATTTTCTACACATTTCCAAAACTAATTTATTTCCAAATCTTAGAATTTCAACCGTATCAGTTCAATTGAATTCTTATTTGTACCAAATTTAATACCATTAAGTACAGATAAGTACAAATTTCCATAATAACCTGTATCATATAATCCAATAGAAATCTTTTTTCCCAAATTCAGGATTCCAGGCCTATCTGTTCAACCAAATCCTAAATGTTCTAAATTTAGCACTATTAAGTACACATAAGTACGAATTTCCAAAGCTTCCTACATACCATAATCCTACACTCCCACAGTAATCCCAAGTCTAAACCTCAGTATTCCATTCTTATCATCTAGCCTAAATACCAATTGTTGCAAATTTAGTACTATTTAGTACAAACACTGATGGTATCTGTATTTGAGATTCGGAGGATGTTTGAAATTGTGTCCTATATTTGTACGAAAAGTACTAAATGGTACTAAATTTGGTATTGGATAAAGGGATAGGGTTCAAATCCTCAAACTTCATATTGAGGTCTCTGTTGGAATCTGGAATTAAGATATAGAGATGGTTTTTGAAATGTGTTCTATAATTATTCGAAAGCACTAAACAGAACTAAATTTGGTACTGGGTGAAGGGGTAGAATCTAAAATTTGAAATTTGATATAGATGTCAGTGCTGGGGTCTGTGATTAAGGTTCGAAAATAACAAAGTAGTACATAATTAGGTATAAAAGGAAGGTTGTAGCTGGAATCCTGAAATTCAATATTGAGGTTTCTGTTGGTATCTGGAATTCGCATCTGGAGGTATTTGTGGAAATATGTTCTATAATTGTACGAAAAGAGTTACTAACATAGGCACTGGGTGAGATTCTGAAATTTGATATACAAGGTGAGATGAAAAAACTGCAACCAACTTAAGACTGCTGTCATTACTAAACCACTCGTCCGAGAGCTGTTCAAATTATTCCAGGGATATTGTGTACAAAAGCATTTGGGTGAGAATTTTACAGAAAAAAGTTATTCGTGATGGAATTCAAGCGTGACAGTTTGACTTCTTTTTTTGGCACAAGCACTCCAGCATTTAAAAGTGAAGAAATCTTTTGTGTCTCGTACCACCGCTTGTTACTCGGTCGGTGATACTGGTAGCGTAGCCCGACGTCAAGTAAGTGGACGGAAGAAAACAGAAACATCAGCAGAAATTGTTCGAAAAGTAAAGAAGCGACTTCATCGAAACCCGCGTTGCAGTGGTAAAAAAATGGCCCGTAAGCTGAACATATTGCAATATTCCATTCGGCAAATATTGAAAAATGAGCTCGGAGTAAAGCCATTGAATTCCAAAAAGTGCAAGAACATACACCGCAACAGAAAACTTAAAAGAGCTAAAAAGTTGCTTCGCTTGGCCGAAAATGGTGAACTGTCGAATTTGGGTTTCTCCGATGAGAAAACATTCGTTGTCCAGCAGTTTGTAAACAACCAAAATAATCGTGTTTACTTGCCAAAGAGGTCAGCTGAAAATGTGAAATTTTAGGAGAGTATTTTCGAGCTGCAAGTGATGTACGGTATCAAATATCATTGTTGAGGAGTGTATATTACGCATGTGAGGGACTTTAGGATGAAATCGAATGAAACATATATATGGGATCTATAGCTATATCTGAACCGATTTTCACTAAATTTTGCATATTATGCATCTGAGGGATTTAAAACCCTAAAACGGATGAAACATATATATGGGAGCTATAGCTATACCTGAATCGATTTTTACAAAATGTAAAGCACATGTTTCTACACATCAGACTGTGCCATAATTAACATCATTTGGACTGATATTGGACTGACAAACAATCAAACGTGCAAACATTTTCCTCTTTTGTAGATATAGGTGGTCAGTGTAAAATTCTAACTCGAATTAATAATGTCCGTCTGTCTGTAGAAATCAAGGAGATTTGTGTCTACTCCTTCGTATAACCCCCTATAACGACACCTTTCGATAATCTGTATTTTTTTAGGAAATTGTTCCACATTTGGTATTCAGAGTTTGCAACGGTTTCTACCTTCAGTGACAGAACATGGTCTGTACAGGCCCACCGAATTATAGTGAATCTCCCGCAAGGGAACCTTTAGACCCCACAAAGTATATATTCTTCATCAGCATAAAACATTAGCGATGTCCGTCTATACGTCTGTCCGTCTGTGGAAATCAATCTAGCTTCCGAATTTTTAACGGATTTTATTGTTTTTGAGTATTGCCAAATTCGTTCCAAATGTTTGATGGTATTCAAAGTTTTGTTTTTTACTTGTTTTCTTTTTTGTATTTAGAGTTTTTTAGCTGTCGCTGTCGCTTATAGCCCTCATAAAACAGTACCTTCGGATATTGGGTAATTTGACGATTTAAGCCTTTGGCCCAGCCGACTTTGTCTTTTATCTACTGTTTTTTTTCTTGTTTCAATCTACTTGTAAGCTAAAGAAATTTCCAATCGTGGTATTTTCAATATTCAGTTGAGCTCAAATCCATAGCCTAGAAAATATGCCTGAAGGGCCGCCTAACAACACACGTTCCATATAGGTAGATGTTAGTTAGCTTTCTGGATTTCCATTTTTACTGCAAATTACATATCCTTATACTTGTTTGAATATAAAAATAAATAATTCAATAAAAAATCGTAATTATAACCACGATTGTTGGTGTATTACGATTTTTTAAGTCCAGACTAGACTTACATTAAATATTCCCTTAATTTATTTTATTTAATTTTTCCATGTAAGCAACATATTTTCCTTGTTGTCTTTACATTTTAATTGGATTCCTTCTAGTGGCTCCATCCTTCCTTGCCATGAAGTCATGTAGTTTGGCAACATATTACCTATCGCAATAAACTACCCGAAATCTTGATAGCGTTTATTTATACATAAGACAATCCCCTGCAAAAAATATGCTATAATCCGATACCTAAATCTTGTTTAGAACAACTACCACAACATCTTGCAATTTCTTCCTTAGCGGTCGTGTCTTTCCATGTTTTTTGGTTATAATAAATCTCGGATTTTCTTCTCTTCTCCTTTCTCTCCTTAGGTTATTTCATATTTATAAATAATTTACAATGTAAGTGGAACATTTTGCAGGATACCTGGCACACCTGGTTTTAGTTGTTTCTTTTTGTTGTTGTTTTTCTGTTGCTTGGGGAGCAGAGAAGCTAAGGAGTATTTCTTCCCGGCATAATGTTATTATCATTCGTAAACATCTGAATCACGTTGTTTGTCATAAATATTTAAATAGTTTAGTTTTTAATAAAGTCCAATAAGACAATGTAGTTAGCAAAGTTGGTGTTAATACCTCGGAGGGAGATAAATATTTATAAATGTTGGTTGTAAATAATACGCATTTGGGGTGGGGAAAAAAGATTTATTAAAAACATATTTATTTCGGGGAAATCGTAGAAAATTGTGTTCTAGAATCGTGGAAAAATACCTACATAACTGTTATATTTAAAAGCGATTTCGTTTAAAATTTACAGAGCTCTTTAATCTTTAAAAATTTATTTTGACAGCCATTTTCAGAGGAAAACATTCCTTAAAATTTATAAAACTGTCATACCTTACTAACAAGTGCCTGGTACTGCAAAAAGTCCATCAAGTGTTAGGACTTTTTATACCCTCCACCTTGGAAAGGTAGACCCCATAATGTAATATATTCATAATCAGCATAAAATTCTAAGTCGATTTAACGATGTCCGTCTGTCTGTTGAAATCATGATACAGGCCACATTATTTGACGTAGAGCGTCAAAATTTAGCAGAATGATTTGTATTGTGTCTAGGAATGGTGTTGAAAATGACATATATCGGTCCACGTTTTGGTATAGTCCCCATATAACGGTAATTCCCGATATTCGGTATTTTGATTATTTTTTCCACATTTTTTCACAGATTTGTCTAAAAATTGGTATTTGTTGGTCATAATGGATTCCAGCACCGGTGGCGAAACATTGCATGTATGGGTCCACGATTTGGTATAGCCCCCATATAAAGGTACCTCCCGATATTCGGTATTTTGATGATTTTTGACACATTTTTTTACGAGCTAGCTACCATATTCGGTATTTTAATGATTTTTGGCACATTTTCCCATGAATATGACTAAAAATTGGTATATGGGGGCCAAATGGGCT